GAAACCAAACACTTGCAGCATACGTAGAGCCACAAAACGAATACATCACAACCTCAAAATACACCAGCAGATATAGCCAAATGAACCGGTAACACCTGCAAACCTGCATTCCACTGGAAAACTGCCTAGCCTGCCCCAGAAACCTCCCCCTGAGGAAACCCAATGGGAAACAGAGCTGCGAATACCGCCTACTTACAAACATCAACGCCCAAGTCGACTCCACCATCTATCAGAACTGCAACATCAGAGTCACCAACAATCAAGACACACAATGGACCAAATTAACCAGCACCAATGGTTGGCTCTACGCCACCATACAACCAGAGGCACTAGAAATAACCTGCACCAACCAACAAGTCACCAGCCTAACAATAAATGGCACAGGAATAATCCACCTAAACCCCAACTGCAAGGCAGAAACCGCCACAGCCGTCATCGAGGGTGCAGGACTAATCCAGACTCAAATCCCCATGATACTGGGGTTACCTAAAACAATAAACATTTCAGCAATGGCACCAATACTAAACGAAAAACCAAAACCAATACACCCATTGAGCCAAATAAAACAACATATCTTACCCACATCAGATGAAAACAGGGAATTCGACAAATCACTCCAATACACCTTAAACGAGGCGGAAGAAATCGGACTCCACCATCAAGAGGAATACCCCCATAGAATCCTCACCGCAACAAATGGCATCATCAACGCCATCATCTTCCTATCCATGGTCGCAGCCAGCATCTGCGCATATAGGCAAGGACTGTCTATCATGAGCATTCTGTCATGCTTCTCCCTCTGCCAGAATTCCAAGCAGAACCAAAGAAAATTCCAACGAAGAATCAAAATTGGAACCCCAGAAATCCAAAGGATAGAAGAAACCCCAGCAACAATTGCTACGGTCGGAATGCCCAGCTACCCAGCACCAACTCGAGCGCCGAAAAAGGAAGGGATCACCAAACCAAAACACGCCATCACAATCCCCAACCCGGACACTCCATCCGCCGTGGTTATCAACTACATCTAAAAATAAAAAGGTCAGACACGTGTCAATAATTAAAATTTTATTGCCCGAATACAAAAAAAAAACAAAGGTCAAACGAATAAAACATCCGGGCCAACTCCCAGAACAACCCCCAAAACCCGCGAGGCAAACTCCTCCAACAACGCCAAGGGCTCCCTCCTCCCCACCGTCGCCAGGAAACCCTTGAAAATAAGGAGCTGTCTCCATAACCTTCGTGCCTAAAAAAAAAA